CAACTACCAACTACCAACTAAACGGAAATTACGTAAATAATTAATTTTTTACTTACTAGGGAAACGTGTAATTAATAAAATAAAAAACGAATAAAATAATTATATCTTTAAAAATATAAAAAAACTCTTTATTACTGTTAATTTAAAAGAAATAAATAAAACCATTCATACATAAAAGCATAAATACCAGTTTTGTATCTTCCAGGATACTTTTCAGTTTCAAAAATAAGACTCTCTCTAACAAGACCTACTTAACAATGTAACACTTTCTGTGTTTTTATTTGAAAGCTTTATATATGTCTTAAATTCCCTCTGTGTGTTAAACTATGTAACATTTAATGTGGTTTTAAATTTGTTAGTAAAATAATCTTATTCTTTCTACAAGGATATCAAAATGGAAATATTTGGAAAAAAGTTATTGTAAAGTATGACATTTTTCCATTATAAACTTATTGATGTGTTTTTTAGTAGATAATGGGCTATTATATGCATTCTTGACATGAGATTTATGTAATTGTATTCTTAAACATAAGTTTTCTGTTTCTTCAACATATATTTGCTTACAACAAATACACACTAATACATAAATAACATTATGTGAATTACAACTAAGTCCAGAGTTTATAAAAAAAAATATTTTCTCCCCCATAGGACCTGTAATATAATATAGCAATTTGGTTTATTGCAGAGAAAAATTCATTCATTAGATTTTTTTACTGTATTTCTCTGATTTAAAATAGCATATAAACTTCTGGGTTGTCTTCATGATAGTGTGAATTGTTTATTTTCAAACTTAGCTTTTAGAGTTTTATCTGAAATTCTTTCAAATTCTTTTCAGATATCATTAATATTGACTTTAATTCCAGGGTAATGTGTTATTATGAAAGAAATAATTTGTTCTTCTTGTATATTACCTTCATTATTATTGTTAATTTCCCTTTTAATCTTAGCTACCTTATAACCTCACTTTATTACATTTTCTGGATAAGGACGCTTCCTCAGATAAGATTTTAATTCTATCAGTCTTTGTTGTTGAACTTATGGGTTAAAAACAATAAAAAAAAATTAATCGAGCTCAGCAAAGTGGAATATTTAGTTTAGTATATATAGGATGATTATTATAAAAATCTAAACACTGGTGTGAATTAGTAGGTTTGTAATATAAATCCATTTCAGTCTTACCATCTTCCTTTTTTATAATCCACATATCTAAAAAAGACAAACCTAAATTACTCATTTTAAAAGTAAACTTTATGTTAGGGTTAATTTGATTCAAATTTCTAAAAAATACTCCAAGATCAAAGGATCTATTCCGTAACAGAAAACCATCATTCAAAATCCTTTTCCAATTTTGCTTCAAGTAATTAATAAAACTACCTTCAAAATTATTAAATAAACCGTTGAAAATTTCACTATCAAAATATTCCATCACTAAAGTGGCATAAGTTGGAGTGATTTTTGTTTCCAGAGATTTGTTGATGTATATTTGTTGCCTTTGTAAACAAAATAACAATTATGTAAAATAAGGTTTAACCTTTAATTATCACTTCTCTATTAAAATGTGGATGTAAAAAATTTGGGCATCTTTATAAATAATATTCAGTAGCTTTTATACCATATTTATATTTGATACTTGGATAAAGAGAAACAACTTCTAATGATATTAAAGTAATATGCTTTCAATTTTCTCTGACAAGTGATTAATAAAACCATTATCATCTCTTATATAACTTTGTACTTTTAGATGTAAATGGTTTTAGAATTGCCCATAACAGAACTCGGTGGATCAATCACCTTGTTCTTTCCACCTATAATTGGTCTTTCAGAGATGTTTGGAGGACACTTTATCCAAAGATGTTCCACCTTATCTTTTTTTTTAAATTTCTTTAACTTCTTTACTTTTATGAATTTTGGGTAATACATAAAATATTCCCAGTTTATGGTTACTCAATAAATATTTTGATAAGTCTTACTTTATTTTTTATTTTAATTTTTTGGTAGAATATGCATGTGTTATCAAGCATGTATGTTTTGAAGTCATTAACAACATTTTCATAGCTTGAAAACTATATGTGTAAAGCACTTAAGAACTTTATGCAGTTTCTGGTGTCAATGTCCATCCTTTAAGGGAAAGTGAAAATTAGGTATTCAGTTATTTATAGTGTCAGTTAGTAGTATTTTTATTGTTAATTACAGAATATCTTGCATGCATACAGGTGTGTCTGGACATTTCATTTTTCTATCCTCATGTAAGTGGAGGGGCCTGGCATGGCCTGGTGGTTAGGGCACTTGAATCTCAATCTGAGGGTCATGAGTTTGAATCCCTGTCACCAAACATGCTTGTCCTGTATAGTTTCTGGTTGTACCAGCCACCCGGGTGTAGAAATTTTTGGCTTACAAAGATACTGGCCAACCCCAAACTAGTGGGATTAAGGTCATTATGGAAAAAACAAAATGTAAGAGGGGATCAGCAACTTTGTATTCTTTACGATTACATGGCTGTTTATACTTGTTTCAGATTTGAATTTAACTAGAGTTTTGTCCGTTCACAGAGAGGGAAGTAAAATTGCTAGAGCTTTACTAGGTTACTCGCAAGGATTTCCTTTACTGAGAAATAATACATCTGACCAAAGAAGATAACCATGCCATGAATGATTGTTTGAAAAGACTAGTAATGTGTATTGTTGTTTCAGAGTTTTATCAGAACTGGTACTCATGAAAACCAGCTGAGTAGAAATCAGACTTGTACTTATTATCAGACTTGTCTGATTTACTGGAAAAATTGCAGGAAATCCTGAGAAGTTTTCTAAAAACCTATGAAGACATCACTGAGGCATGAAGCATCATCTTATCCTTAACAGCTGTCAGCATAGGTTATGTTATTTGATGTACAGTTGTAACACAAAAATTGTTATATTAAAATTAGTTTGATGTTTTTGATCTGGTTACAACAGTAACTTTTAGCCTGTGTCAATTTTTATTTTCTCAGTCTGATGTATTTCCTGACACCTAGTGATCAAAATATTTGAAACTGAGTCTTGTTCTATTACTTACTTTGAAAAACATAAATTTCTATTCATCTAATTTGTGAAATATAACTAAAAAACATATCAATGTACCTATTTTATAACTAGGTTCAAGGAATCCAAAATATGCCAACTATAGCTGGACTCCAAAATGTTCAAGGTCAACAGGGTCAATACCTTAGCATTTCCCCAAATGGAAGTGTCATTGCTACACCAAATATCCAGACTGGTGGTCAGTCTCAAGTAACTGGACAACTTAGCCCAGTACATACAATACAAACCATTGGAGGGACTCAACTGATTGGTATTAAAATATGATTTTTTTGTGTAAATTGTAAGCATATGATTGGGTGATATAAAACATAATATGTGTAACAAGCTTAAATGTTATGAAATTGTAATGTCAGACTGGAATTTTAACAAAAGACACCTAAAAAAATTATTTGTTATATTTGTAGTTATATGCTTCAACAAGCAAATGTATGGAAAAAAGGAAATAAATATTTAATAAACTTTAAAATACTCATTATTTAATAATTGGACTTATTGGAGTGACAACATTTCTGTTAATAAATTTCCTAAACAAATAATTGTCAATTTTTTTTGCTTCGAAAATACTGAAAATAGTAAATTATGTATTAATTGTTAGGATATGCACTGTAACTAACATTTATTCATAATTTCAACAGAGACAAAGTTATGTCGGCCATCTTAAAAGTGAATCTTAGAATTACATTTAGAAGATAGCTTGCTGTTTTCAAAGATTTTTATCTGTAACAAAGGAAAGTTTTGGACTGTTAACTTGCATAGTCTACAAAATAGAAGAAACTAAAAATAATCATGTCATTTAAAATGGTTTACAGTTAAATTGACAACATGATGTGAAAAATCCTGTATTCGAAGTTACATGTTTTTTGTGGTTTCAAACCTCAACAGTCTGTTCCACAAGATATAGAAAACTTAAAATGTTAGACATCTTCATATAACTTCTTAGCACCTTCAGTTATAATTAGATCTATATAAGACGTTTTTTAAAACATACATAATAACATAGCTAACATATTTGGCTGAATAAACACAACTATTGAATGTGATTTGAAGCATATAGTGAAAAACTTAACATGTTAGCCACCAGTGAGTATCTTTGCAAATAGTAAGTTGCCCATTACTACAACTTATGTATTGAGTAGGTTAGCTGAGGTGCTACCACTTTTGATTTAGTTAAGAATAATTCTTTGTAATTTATGGAAGTATTGTAAAAAAGAAGGAGAGAGAGAGAGAGTGATATGAAATTGCTTTAAGCAATTTTAATGGTTTAATTTTTGGTTTAGCTCAACAACTTCAACCTGATCCTACTGATCCAACCAAGTGGCAGGTAGTAGCAGCATCCCCTCTGACTACTCCAATTCAGCCTCAGCCATCCATCACACAAGCTGAACAGGTACCCACGTCCTCAACCTCCACTGATGGTAGCAACACTCCAAATTCTTCGCGCAGGATACGTCGAATAGCTTGTATTTGTCCAAACTGCAGAGATGGAGAAGGAAGGTAATAAGCTACGTTTTGATAGTTTTAAGAAACTTATCAACTATAATTAGTGTCATAAGAAGTAATAAGTTTGTGATTATATTATTAATATAAACTTTTTATTGATAATATATATAATTTTATGAAGTTCAAAGTTTAGTTTATGTATGTATGTTAGTTTCCATCTAATTCTTTCACTTGTAACAGAGCACAGTATGATACACTACTGTTGTATACTTGTGTATGACTATTCCAGCAACTGAGAAATGGCCAAGCAGATAAACAAACAACAATTACACAAGCTTCAAAATAACTTGCATGTTTTCTTTTTATATGAAAATAAAAGCTTTTGAACAGATGTCATAAACTCAACTCTTCTATATCAGGTACTAAATGTTTTAAGCTTAAATTTGCTAACCTCTCCTTTAGGGGTTAAATCTGGGACTTGCCAATACTTCATATTTTTGATTGTTAGATGATTTTTTTGAGCTAGCCTCAACAGCATGTTTATTTAACATGCTGGTCATATTCATTTCCACAAGACAACAAAGGCCACTTGATTCATTTAGGCTTTCCCATTTTCTGCTACCAAAATACTGCAAACTACTATATAAACTTATTTTCTGTTTCCCACCCTGATTTATTAAATACTTATCCAGTTTCCCTTATAACTGTAACTGTAACTTTTCAAAGATAACAATGGAACATTAATTGGCACACAATTCATTTTTGTGTTAAACAAAATGTAATAAATTCAGATCACGATATAGAACTGATTTAATTACAGATCTGGAAAAAGACTTGATTTGATTCTAGTTCTGGATAAAGGCCTGATTTGGTACAGATCTGCCCAATTTGAGATCTGCACCAGATCTGGAATTTCCATAAGGGTATATACCAGTATTTATATATATGTATATGTAAACTCTTTCAATGTTGAAGTTTCTACCAAATTTTAAAGCAGACTATTTTACAAGATTATTAAACTTTGTTAACTTAAAAAGGGAGAATAAATAGGGATCATCAAAAAATTACATGCAGAAATAAGATAGGTAGCTTGAAGTAAAAATGCAACAAACAAGCTTATTATTTTCTCAACATACAAATCCCTATTTTGACTCTCCTAAATATTACAGCTTTTAGACATGGAGTCAAAATAGGGATTTGTAGGTTGAGGAAATAATGTTAACACTATGATTCAAACCTTAAGCTTGTTTATTTACTTTTCTTGCAATTGCATTTTCACTTCAAGCTACCTATCTTGTTTCTGTGTGTAATTTTTTGAAGATCCCTATTTCCCCTTTCTAAATTAACAGTTTTTAATAATATTGTTTATTTAGTTTTTATAATAGTTTGTATAATAGCAATACTGTCCTATTTGAAACAGTTTAGTTTAAAGAAATACGTAGTTGGTGTATGATACTCTCTCAGGAAACAATGACAACCTTTTGATTGGCTTCATGCAGATTGGATTGATATTGCTCCTGATATCATTGCCAAAGTTATCATTGATAGTGGTACTGCATGTATGATCAGTATGCTGCATGGTGATCAACATATCACATTGTCTATATGCTTCTAAAATATGTATAGCTGCTATATTTATACTCTGTAGCTATATGGGGTGTCTGTACACACTAGATTGGACGGACTACTGAACTATTAACATGTTTTCGACCTTGTAGAGTGTGCAGAATGTTACTCTAAGAGGAAATCTGGCCAGCTGCAGCAAAACTGTGGCTGACCTTACTATAGCCAGCAGAAAGGAGGAAGGGGAATATAACTATAAGAAATATTTAAAATTCTTATTTATATACATATGCTATTATATTATGACAGTCTTATATTTGCATTGAATATTTATGCCAGCATCTATACAACTTGAAAAATTAATATATCTATGTATCTATCTATCTATATATATATGATAGGTTTTACAACTTAAAAAAATATAAAGCTTGCATGTATATATATGTATATGTTTGTATGATGTTTTAGATGTTTGTGTAACATTGTCAAAATTTATCATGCAATAGTAAAAAGAACTGTGATCCTGTCAGCAGCATCTTGTCTGAAAGGGCAGGAACCTTATACATCAATATTTCAATAATAACTATGGTACATGTGTTGTGCCTGCCATATAAACATTAGATTACATCCATGGCCTGCATACACCTATATGCATATACATGTAGTAGATTAAAATGACTGAATGTCAATGGTTATACTGCTGCTGTTATTTGCTAGGTAGTCAAATAAACTTAAAAAACTACCCTGTAGAATGTACAATAATGCATTTAGTAATATTGCCCAGGTTTTATTACAATACTCACAGCCATTTTTGCTGTAGACTGGCAGAACAATATTAAGTAATAAAAGTTTGAAGACAGATTGAATGAGTAATGAAGAAAACTTTTTAATAAATGTACAGCGTTTTGATAAGATTATGTCATCATGTGTACCTGATGATGACATAATCTTGTTGAAACATTGCACATTTATAATGAAGTTTTTTTTCATTACCCATTCAAGCCTTCTCCAAACTTATTTTCTAAAAAGTGTGTTCCTCGTCATCAAATATCAAATAATAATAAAGAAGAACAAATGGGTAATCCCTATTATGAACCACAGTATAAGAAAATTAATTGTACCTGTGTCCGAGTTTTCCATATTTTAAACCCATTACATCTGGAGTTATGGAATTGAAGTTTCAAACAATCTTAAAAAGCTCAATCATATTCTCCCAAATACTCTTCCTCTGCAGTGAAAGTATGTCAAGAGATTTCAAGTTATCCTGGTATGACAAACCCTCCAAACCTGCAACCATTCTGGTAGTTCTCTTCCTGTTTCAAATTAGGTGTTAACAGCACCTTATAAAATGAAAAGAGAAAAGTTGGGAACTCTGGTCTTATTTTTCTATTAATGGATTTGGATTAATGATGTGGATGACATACGCGTAAGGAACTTAGTATTTTCTCAGATTTTCTTTCTTATTCATGTTGAACATTCCAGCTTGTCACAACAGAAAGCCAACTTTGGATATAAAAGTCAAGTGTCTAGTTTTACTTATCAATTGATGTTTCATGTGCCACATTACTAGTAAAACATTTATGGTGTTTTTGAATAAACCTGTTTATGTCATTGTTACGTATTTGCATGTCATTCCTTTAATTGTCAGTCAAGTTAAACTTGTTTGCACTTATATTTAAAATTTTTCTGAACATTCTATTATTATGGGGCAGTAACTTATCTGTTAGTTTCCAGTGTTCCTTAGACTATCACACCCTTATTTCATTACTTGTAAAAGTTCTAAAAATACATAAAGGAAAATTACAAAAGGTACTCATATCATATTTCTTTTTTTAGATTATCTTAGCAGCACCTACAATAGACAGTTATATTTTGGCAGTGTCTTTTTTATATATTAAGAAGTTCTTGCAGTTCTAATATTATATGTCTACATTGTAAATTATAAAGCAGTTGTGAACTTGCTGCTAAACAGAGGACTTAGTGAAATTCTCACTCTTCCTTTCTCTGAGGAATTTGTTCTGATCTGGAGAATTTATCAGTAAAGAGAAGATTTGGTGGCATTTTATTTTTTTGAACAAACACTGGGGCTGAGCTTGGGGGGGGGGGGGGTTTTTGTTGATTAGAGGACTTGGTGGCATTTCTGTTTTCTTTAGCAAATATTGGGATTGAGTCCAAAGAAGTTTTTGGTGAGGAGAGGGCTTGGTGGCACTACTATTCTTTCTGCAAAATATTAAGCTTGAGACTAGGGAAAACTTGATTTTATTTCCATCTCCTCTTTAGCAAACACTGAACAAGATTTATGTGAGGGGAGATCTTAGTAGAACTTCCACTCTCTTCACTTTTTAAGCATTAAGGCTTGGAAGTTTGTTTATGAGGAGAAGAACTGGAACAACTTCTACTCTCAATATCAAGTGTTAGGTCTGAGACCAGAGTGTTTTTTGTTGTTGTTTTTTGCAGTGAGGAAACAATATGGAACTTTTAAGAACTCCCACTCTCTCTGTCGAGTAATGGATTCTGAGCCTTCAGGAGTTCATCAGTGGGGAAAGTATGTGGGGCTGGAATAAACTTTTACTTTCTCTGTCAGTTATTAAATCTAAGCCTGGGCAGTTTGTCATTAGTCAGTGTGGAAAGGACTTGATGACATTCATATTCTTTCTGGTAGTTTTTGTGACTGAGTTTGGAGAATTTATTTCAACAGATAACTTGGTCCATTCCCACTTTTAAGTAGATATTTTAACTGAGCTTGAGGAGTTTCTCAGTGAGCAGAAAACTTTGGTAGCACCCAATCATGTGCTCTATCAAATACTGTAGCTGAGTCTAGTGAATCTTTTTTGACCAGCAGATCATTTCACAATGAGAACAAACTTGATGTTAGAGCAATGAACAGGTGTAGGCCATTTTTTTCTCAAACCTTGAGAGGGCTTGACTCATCTACGGCCAACTAAAAATATTATTTGTTTGATGTCCGTGCCTTTTTTTTTCTTTTCTATTTTGCAATCAACAACCAGAGTTTAATGTTTGATATTCATTTTTGCCATTCTGACAACTTAATGCTACAAAAAGTAGTGGATTTTGTTTTGCACCAGAATAGTCATTCTCAAATAAGGCTGATTTGGTTGTCCCATCCAACTTATCCCAACATCAAATTGGATTTGATTCCTTGACTCATTAGTCACTTGTGAGTATTTTCCATGAAGTAACAACATTTGTGGTAAAGTTACAAAATTATCACAGAAGGCTGATTAACAGACTGCAACACCTATAATTTTCAAGTATATCTTTACCTAATTTTTTGTACTTCATTTTTATCTCATTCCCTGTAACTGAGAAGAAACCTCTCTCTAATACCAATTATTATTTACATTTCAGATTAACATACAATTAGAACTTGAGTAAGTTTGACTTTTTGTTAAAGTTGACTTGTTGAATCTGATTTTAGTGAGCACGTAGTAGACTATGGCATAGTGAATCAAAATGTAGTGTTCAACTTTGAAAATGGCACCATATTTGTATGTTACAGATGCTCAAATCATTTGAACAGTAAAGCAGAAATATAGTTTCTGTGTATATCATCAGCATAAACAAATTTGGATGTTCACCCAAAGTAGTTGATGAAGATCAAATGACTAAATTCTCTAATTGGCAAAGAAAGCATGACACCCACCACATCATAGTTATATTGGTACTAGTATATCTTAGGTGTTTGCTCTACAGTAATTTCATGTGTATTAAAGAAACTACTCACTAAAGAATTTGGTAACTGATAACATAACTTTCGATGTTATAAAAGTTAAATTGCTGAAACGTCTACCTTTCCAAACCATATGAGGATGTCTTACAGTTAGCTGCAGAATTTAGTAAAATACCATGATTAAATAATGATAGATTTTCAAAAAATTTTTTTCAAACCTCTTTATCTTAAATAAAATTCATAATCATGATATGTGCAACAGTCACTTTTTTCTTGCTCAGTAACCTACAGCATGGAAGATACAGGAAATGGGTTTCCTCCCTGTCATTGCTATTTTGTGTTATTCTCTTATTTGGGCACTATGTTTTACACATCAGGAACCTACGTTAATGTAACCTTTTTTTGGCATTTTGATTCAAATTTTACTGAATGTAAACCATAGTTTCCAGACCTGATTTGCTTAAAAAGTATATTGATGTTTTGTGAGTTGAGAATGATTATAAATACTTTTAGAGCATATCATTGGCATAGTTTATATTTGTATGTCCATTGGAAGAAATAGAGTGCTTAAGCTATTAATATTTAAATATGGTGAAACAAGGACAAGAAACAACTTTTTATTCAAAGTGTTTACAAGTATAAAACAATTTATTTGTATTTTGCTTATTATCTGAATGCATGGTTATTTCATAATTGCACACAGTAAAGGTAAATCAACACTGCTTTTACATCCTCATCATTTTATAATTATGGTCAACATCAGTTGAACGTGACCTTTATGAAAAAGTTAATAAAATTACTAAAAGGTTTTAGGCGCACTCAATTTCTTAAACTAAGCACTTCAAATTATGAAATTCTACAAAGTAATTGAATTATTTCTTGACTAAAATCTTACACAAATGTTTTAAACAAAAATATCATATCAATAGCCATTATAACTAACCCTGCCCAGGAAAAACTAATTTATGATTCTACTTATTCTTTAAGTCATTAAAGAAAGAACCAAATTTTATTTTCAATGTTTATATCTCATGCAGTACCTCAATTTAACTTTTATTTATAATGTTTATTGAGCTACTTTTATGTCATTTAATTATACTGTACAAATGAAGGAAGTTCGATATTTAGTGTTGTCTTTTATCCTTGTTGCAACTTTCCATTACATTCTGTTATCTAGTTGGACATTCTTGCTTGATTTCGTTTTCACTGCTGGTAGTTTTTCATTCCAGAATGCTTAAGAGATAATTATTAAAAAATGTTTCCAGAAAACTTTTTAAAATGAATAATTCCTTATGCCAGATGATATATTAAACATATGAGAGAGAGGGAGAGAGGATATCTGTGTGTGTGTGAAATTAATACTGTTACTAAAAATAATTATTGGGTCTTCTTTATTAATGGAAGTGATATCTATGACAATGGATTTCAACCTTTTTTTCCTCATGGACCCCTTCATGAATCAAAGACAATCTTGCAGACCCTCATACTCAGATAGATCTATCTGTGGAAGCTGATCCTACTGTGTATAAAAGCAGCATTGACATAAATAAGTATGTAAGTTTAATCCAACATAGTATTTTATTAAATATAAAATGAAAACTTGATTTGCACCATTACTGGACTCCTAGGGGTGTGCAGACCACAGGTTGAGAACCACCAGTCTGTGTCATCAAAAAGTATGACGACTGAACTATAGTAAATAATAATCACTGTATATGACCAAGGCATGCTGTTTTGATCTGGCTGTTAGACATAATTTTCTGTGCAATAAAAATGTTAGTAAAGGTTAATTAAGAAAATAGATATTTATGATGTATATAGTTAGAGAATGTGAAGAATTATTCTGTAGCTTGGACAGATGAGGCACTTCTTTTGAAATGTTAGGTGACATTCAGGGAATGTTTAGTGACATCAAAATTTCTTATTGTAACCAAAACTTAAAGTTGAATTTCAGTTTAGGAAAGGAAGTTCAGTTAGGAAGCTTAGAACATTTTGAAGGTATAGTGCATCTCAAAATTTACCTCGTGCTTTTTTTTTATTCACAGTACTATTCATGGATAAATTACCTTGTATTACAATAAAACATTAGATCATGTGTGGATGGACAAAACCTTTGAAAAACCTGTAAGTATAAATGTAATACTTAGTATGGTGCTACATAGTAATATCTTTAAGTTAATTTTAGGAAAGAAGTTTAGTTGGGAAGCGACTTTGTTACTCTGTATGTTATTATGTTTGTGTAGTGATTTGTTCTTTAGATTGAAAACAGGCAATGATCAATAAATAAGGAAAATTGCATGAAAGTAGTAAGCTACCGAAAGAGTGATTTTCTAATGAAAATCAGAAAAAGTTCTGGTACAATAAGTATAATGTTGTTGTCATGTTTATAAATTACACTTAAGTAATCATGATAAGGTTGTGGTGATCAGATATCAGTCATTATATGGGCTACAAACTAAGTCAAATTATTTAGTAGTTATGGTTACTAGTAACTGATTAGTTTGTGCCCTGTGTTATATTTGTTAATCTGAGAACCTAAACGAGTGAAGAGTATAGCTGTTTTACAGACAAGAAGACTCAGGATCGAATTAGATGATTTTGCAGCCCAAACTTCTGATCAAAGCAAATTACCTGCATAGTTCAGAACAAAAGAATTAACCCAGTAAAAAAGATAGATAATTTAACCCATTCACTGTATTTGGGATGTATATTTCCCACTGAACTGGGAAATATGTTCCAGCCACAAAGAAAGGGTTAATATACTTTTTTTACTTATAATTATTAGAATGCATTGTTTTATCAGTTGGGTACTCTCACTTTTAACAATATTTTCATCCATAATTAGTAATTAGATTACTAACATGACAATGCTTGATATCTGATTGCCATAACCTTACCATAAATACTTAAATATACGTAATTTATGTTTATCTCACAGGAACAGTGAAACAAAAAAGAAACAGCACATTTGTCACATGCCAGGCTGTAATAAGGTTTATGGAAAGACTTCTCACCTTCGAGCACACCTTCGCTGGCATACAGGAGAAAGGCCATTTGTTTGTAACTGGTTGTTCTGTGGAAAATGTTTTACACGCTCAGATGAACTCCAGCGTCATAAACGAACACATACAGGTTGTTATCTTTTATTTTAAGTATTCTAAGATATAAGGTAACTGAAATCACAAATATAGATAATTATGAATATATATTATGAATAAAGGTAAGATAAAGTAGTTATGTATTACAACTAACAATGAAATATATGTGCAGATCTTTGAGATTTTAAAGTAGGAGTACATTAGCACATTTTGTTAAACCTAATATGTTCACTTTATTTTTTCAGATTTCTTTCTTAAAGAAAGGAAAATGCTTTAATATAAACATTTTTGTGTGTCTCTTGTGATGCTGGGTTCTTCCTACCATCCTATTTATGAAAATACTATGAAATTATGTATTTCACTTAACTAAGTTATCTTTAATGAGCTTCAGTAAGAACATATGATTTTAATGATTGTTTAGACCTAACTTCCATATTTTTCTGCTTTTAATGGTGAGTTGCTTAAGCTTGTAATATTTTTACTTCTCTATTTGCATGTGTTTGGTAGATCTGATCTGGGTTTGTATATTTATTATGGAAATTGTAGTGACAAAACCATATTTAGTTATAGCAATCCCTAAGCATTTTGTATGTGATGAAATAGTATTTTCTATAAAAATAAAGTTATAAAATTCTAGGTGAAGCAAATTTACAATAAATAAATATACTCATACAGATTTTGTCAAATTGTTTTGCAGTTGTTGGCCAAAAGAAAATATTTTGGTTTGGGATAGATTTATAAAATACATAAATAGTGTAAAATGAAAGTAAATAATAAGAAAAAAATTGATTTTCTTTTAGGATATTGTAAAAGTCACACATAAGGTCCTTTAACATTTTGTTATTGTGTTATTATGTTTTTCCTTGTATGTATGGTATTCAAATACACTGATATCCATAAGAAAGTCAAAAGTTTCTGCAAACAGTAAATACAAAAAAAATACACAAAAGCAGTATTTACAGAAATGTATCTGTTTATGTGTTAGGTCATTAAAAAATTAATGTCATATTTTGGAACACTTTCAAATAACCACCCCCAAAATCTGCATCATGTATAATCGTTAAACGAACCGCCTAAATGTCACATTAGTGTAACCTATATAATGTGTAAAGTTTAGTA